TTACGTCATCACTTTTTTGGAAAAGGAAATTGGTGTTGGCTGAAATCAATGGGAAATAAATCCACATGCTCCTCAGTAAGAAAACAAATTGCTATCACAACAGAAATTAAATTTAAAATTAAGAAATAATGTTCAGACATGCTATCAGGGAAAAAAACAAATTCCTGCCACAGTAGTATTACCAAATAGAATGACTAATATCCTCCAGGTTTTTTACCTAGATTTCAAAATGGATCACCCCTAAGTGTTAATATAGGGAATGACAGATATTAATTATATTTTTCTTTTGTTTGTATTTTATCTTCAGTAAAAACTTGCAAGGAGGTGAAATGCTTGTTTAATGGCACCTGCAATATGGAAACTCTTCAGTGTATGTGTAAAAGATGTGAATATCACAAAAGAATGCCAGTCTGTGGTAAAGATGGCGTTACATACAACAGTAATTGTGACTTGATGTATACTCAATGTGAAATTCAAAAATTTATCCCAATCGACCATCAAGGAGAATGTAAACAAGGTATACATTGCAAATGTACTTTTATACAATGCTGTGAAAGATGGGACACATTTTGTATTTGTAGCAGTGAAGATTTCTCTGCGGAAGACAATATTTAATTCTCTCAAATGTTTGAATTCATACAAAAATATTACTTTTTACATTATCATCTTGAAGTGTTGTCTGCGTTACAATAGTCTGTACTGGCAATACAATACTGTAAAATACTTTATTTACTCTTGAAACTAATTTTTGCTATTTTTACTAAATGGATGGATGATTCAGTGAAAATACAATCCAGTGAATATACCCTTTTTTCTCTGTTTTACAAAATCAGTGAAAATAAACTCCATACAAAACACAAAACAGTCTTTTCAGCGGAAGTTAATTCTAGCTAAAATAAAATATTTTACAGTAATCCAAAGTATTCCCGCGTAGATTGACATAAGTCATACTTATCACTCAAATTGATACAAAAATCTGGCGATAATTATTTAATATTTCCTGATGTCAACCTATCGTGGAATAAACAATAATTGTCTCAATCGTGATTACCCCTAAAGTAGTATTTATCTCTGTTTATGATTCAAATTGTCACTCTCTGGTGATAATCTATCATGTCTGCTAACTTCAACCTAAGAAGGAATATTGTGTTAATATACTGTGGAATACTTTATTTTTGCTGGAATTAATTTTCGCTGAAAAGGCTTTTTGGGCATTCTTTATGGAATTTATTTTCATTGATTTTTAATGAGTTGAATGTGAAATATTGTTAAAAAAGTATATTCGCTGGATATTATTTTCACGGAATCATCCCTTCAGCGAAAATAGCGAAAATAAATTCCAAACGAAAATAAGGTATTCTACAGTATAATGTATAATATAATCATGGACTGTCGATATTTGCAGATTGAAATCTACACATAACTAACAAAATTGGGAATAAAAACTTTGACATTCATGTCATCTGTCTGCAATAGTGAAAACATTGACTTTCATGTCATCTGTCTGCAATAGTGAAAACATTGACTTTCGTGTTAATTAATCATTATTACTTGCAGTACCAATACCAACCGTTAAACCGGATCATAGCAGTGACCATGGCGGTAGCGAACACCATATTCCAGATAAACCACCTGTTGATACTGATAGTGCCGTAAATGAGCCTACAGCGCAGTCTCCGAAAGCTGGTTACAACCCATGTGCTAATGGCAGTTGTGACTCCGCCGATAGGCCGAGTCTTGGTAATGGTGCAATTGTATATGTGGTTTTTGGTATCAATGGTATTGACCAAAGTAATCTGACAGGAGAACATGTGCTCGAAGAAAGTAGGGTGAGTTTTGTCTTGATTTGATGCACTCAGTCACTCATGCTTGTTCTGTCATTCATAGGGATGAATGAACATTGTCAAATTTTCAACAGCAAAAAATTTGGGCTTAGTAGATGCTAGTATGGTCACAAGAAATCACAATTTTTAGAATTAGAAAAGAGC